CTCTGTGTGTCCTGCTCGGACAGGGTAGGGCACGTGTGAGAACTTCCTGCAAAGCCTGCCCTTGATCTGAAACCAAGACAAAGCATATATACAGAGGGAACTGCTGACTTCCCTCCTGGGAGTGTTTTGTCTCAGAGTGGACATCAACAGTCCTTCTGCAACCTTTTTCATGATACGTTCCAGCAGATCCTCAATCTCAGCCTCCAGCCTCCATCTTAATGAAAGGCAGTTTAGCCTAGCCTGTCTGGCTGCCATTAAAGAAGGAATCAGTATCCCATAAAACCATCTGCAGTGAACTTCTAAGATGTGGTACCAGAGCCGCATAGACTAGACAGCAATGGGAGCAGACCAGATCTGCGGGAGTCTAAGAAGCCAGACATCAGCATCTACAGCACTAAGCCCAATCCTAGGGGACGCTACAGCATCGCTTTCCTGTTGAGGAAACCGAGGCTCAGGGCCTTTGGCTAAGTTAACTAAGGTTTAAAAAGAGCCACAGAGCAAGCATTGAAGGGTACAGCTGTCTCATCTTGAGTGACACTGAGAATTCAGAAAGTGGTCAGAATGACTGGCAGGACACAGAGAATGACGCCTGAAGGGAAAGTCACAGCCACTACAAAGAGTGTGCTGTGGAAATCCCTCGCAGACCCATTAAGGAATGGAAAACTACCCTGAGTTCAGTAGCAGGTGACACTAATATACATCTGTGTAATCATATGGGATATAACTGTGCCTAGGCTTCAGGGGCTAAAGACTATTAACATATATAAAGACACAGACTGGAAGACTGGACCATCGTCCAGGCTTTGGAGTCTAGCAATCCTTAAAACACACACACACACACACACACACACACACAGGGAGGGGGGATTTATTTCCTGAGACTCAGGGGCTGGTGACCGTCCCTAGCATCTTGTCTAAAATGTATGAGTGCTAAACTCCTATGTATAGAATGAATACCTACTAACACCATACTTGTCATAAGCTTAGAGATGAAACATCAGAACCCAACTCATACTTGATTTCTCTGTCCCGACAAATTTGGAGAAGGACTGTGTGTGTGTGTGTGTGTGTGTGTGTGTGTGTGTGTGTGTACTACGTCTGTGAATATCTAGGAATTTGGGTCATAGATTTTGTGGACATGCCTGCCCATGAGTCTGTGCCTATCCGTGTTTGCCATCATGCCACGGACAAGGGTGAGTCTGTTTCTATCTGTGTGTACCTGGCTATGAGTCTGTGGTTATCCATGTGTGTGCCTGGCCGTGAGTCTGTGCCTATCTGTGTGTGCCCGGCTATGAGTTTGTGGTTATCCATGTGTGTGCCTGGCCGTGAGTCTGTGCCTGTCTGTGTGTGGTGCCTGGCTATGAGTCTGAGCCTGTCTGTGTGTGCCTGGCCGTGAGTCTGTGCCCATCCATGTGTGCCATCACACCACTGACAAAGTCTGCACGTTAGAAGCTAGCTTTGTTAAGTTATCACATAAGATCAACTGCAGGCATTTCTCTGAAGCCTTTGCCGAGGGTACACAGGATTCTTAAAACGCTACACAGCAGCCAGGCTAGCACCTACACTTAACTTACACCATTCTGTTAAGTTCATCCTGACTGTCAAACTGTCTGTCCATCCCGAAGTCTTTTTCATCTCTGTCCTGTTTTCTATGCTGTTTATGAAGGCTTATTCTGAACCATGGTTATTCTAACCCTGCCCACTTCTGTAAAAATCACCCGTAATCACTGTGGTGGTGAGGGTGAAGTGTCACCTTAACCCATGGGATAGCCGGGACTTGGAAGGCATTCCTGGTCAGTAAGTCCTTGAGGGTGTTTCTGAAGATGCGTGCTGTTCTCGGGAGATCCACTCACCCAAATTTACCTCCGCCCCAGCACCTCCTTCCAGCCCCCTTCCCACCCCATCTTTCTCTTCCCCTTGGGTCTTTGGATACCACATCTCCAGGTTCCAGACCTTAGGCTTCAGCACTAACAACTGCAGCCCTCAAGTTCTCAGGCCTCCAGCTGGACTGAGAGTCATGCCATCACTGTCCTTGGTTCTGAGTCCTTTGAACTCGGCTTGGGCTTCTTGAGATCTGCAGCTTATGCAAGGCTGTCCTGGGACTGCACAGCCACTATCATTGCCTAAACCAGTCCTGCCAAGTCCTGTCTCTCAAGTAATAGCTGTCACTTATTCATGCTGTCTCTAGAGAACTCTGCTAAACCCTGCTAAGGGCCACATGCTATGTATTTTATGTGATATATAATGTCACTTCTCTCTTTGCGTTTATTTATTCATTCATCACTCATTCATTCATTCATTCATTTTGGTTGGGGTATGTGTGTGCCTCGGTACACACATGCAAGAGTCATTTCTCCCTACCCTACCCTCATATGGGCGTCAGTGACAGAACTCAGGCTATAGGGCTTGGTGTCTCCCCAGCCAACTTTTCAGCCCTAAACATCACTCCCTGATGTTGGTCTTCCTGATGTTGGTCTTTACACTGCAGGTAAAGAGCAATGCCGAATACAAGGTGTGGAACTTGAGAAGGACAGAGGGGGCCTGTCATTCACCCCTGACTCTGTCACATACTTGCCCTGCAGCCTCAGACACCTTGTTCAGATACAAACTGCACGTGCCCAGATTCTCTTAGAACAGTGGAGTCATCTACATGATGGCTGTGAGGCAGAGTTTTGATATGGCAAGTGTCCAGAACAATGCCCGTCATGTGGTGTCTCCTCAGCACATAGGTGATTTTCCCATACGCCCAAGGTGTGGAGAATCTGTTGACCCAAAAGGCATAAAGTCAGTCTATTCTTAGGGACTCCCTGTTCCAGGCCCATGCACTGTGGGAGCTCCTTCCGTTCCTTCAGCCAATAGCCGCTGAGATACCAGCCCATTGGGGCATGGTCTCTCTCTCTTTAAAAAAGCAGCGGCTGTCCTCCGCTCTCTCTCTCTCTGGCTTCCAGCTCCACTTCCGGCTCCTAGACTCCTTTCCTGATCGCACAGAGGGGCTGTTGTTTGGGACAGTAATCTGTAAGTTTTTTCCCCTCTGAATAAATAACCATTCTATTAATCATAATTCCAAACTGGTGTGGGATTGTTTGTGACTTACGCCTTCACCCATGCTCAACTCTTCCACTGAAAGGCTTTAAAACCATAGGCTTATGAAAACTAATTAATTCTACTAATTTCAAAGACTCCTAGCCTTTCAAAATGGTCATTTTCCACTGAAAGTACTTTTAATGATTGGTTGCTCAAGAGATGAAATGTAGGTGCTGCCGGCCCGGCCAGACATGCCCTTTGATTCCAACAACAGGATGGAGCCTGATACATCCAGAGATAAACTAAGGAGAATAAAAGCCTATTTAGTGTTATATGGTTCTGTGGCCTGCCTCTTCTCATGGACAAGTACCACAATTCAAAAGGACCACAGAACATGACTATAAACCACACATATGCACACACACACACAAAACAACACACACACACACACACACGCACACACACGCACACACACACACACACGCAGGCACACACACACGCACACGCACACACACACACACACACACACACGCAGGCGTGCGCATGGGTTAGAAGCCACTATGGGTCTATGGTCTCTTTGTTCAGGTGCAAAACTCTTCTGAGCTCCCGGGATCACGAGCATCTAGACTTAGTGATAGCCAAAAACTGGAGGCAGCTTTACACCTCACAAAGTCATTTCATATCTATAATCTTAATACACACGAGCGTTCTTCAGAAAGAAGTGAAACTTTCAGGGGAGAGGGAAGGGAGGAAGCTGATATTGTCCAGTTACCTGCTTGGGACAGACATGCAGCAAGATAGCATTCCTACTGAAAACATCCTCAACACAGCAAGGCTGACTTGCTCAGAAAGCACCAGGAGAGCCCAGAAGCGATGTCCACACTCAGGTCCTGGACCTTCCCTCCCACAGCTGCAAAGAAAGGCACAGAGCTGCAGCAAGAGCACTGCTCCTCTCCATTTGGTTTATGAGGATGCTTTGAGAGGCATCCGGAAGTGCTCTTCTCTCTGATGTGAGACACAGCCAGAGAGAGCCTCTGCAGGCCAAGTGGATTGGAGGGATGGAACTTCACACTGCTCTCATAGTTCAGAGTTGAAAAAAAGCTCAAAAGTAATGTGTGTGTGTGTGTGTGTGTGTGTGTGTGTGTGTGTGTGTGTAAAGCTTTTAGTAAGGAGAAGCATCCCAGCAATAGAAATCAAAACGGACTGTGGCCACTCTGTGTATATCCTTCGCTCCCCTTGAAGGCAAGCTGCCCGTCTTAGGATCAGAGGGCTGTGGAGGCACACAGGACCTGCTGCTTTGGGAGAAGCATGACTGGGTGAGGTGAGATGCTCCAACGACTCAATCTCATTCCTCCAAATTACCAAAGTGGTATCCTGCTAAGTCCCGCTGGTCAGACTGCTCAGCAAGAGGTCCACAATTTCCCTGATTGCAGCACCACAATGCCATTATAGGATTATTAGTTTATGGATCACTACATGCCCAACCCATTTAAAATATAGCAACAGAGAAGGTAGAGGATAAATCTCAGAGCAGAAACTGAGCCTCATTTTATTCCTCAGGAACAGGACAGAGTGGCCAAGAGGACCAGAGGGTGTCATTCACAACGGTTATACACATGCATTCAGCTGAACCCTGAGTTTCCCCACAAGCAGACCTTCCCTGGCCAGTGGGGAGACATGAGTGGCTGCTCCCACCTAGCAAAGACTCCCTAGTCTACCTGTATGACAAATACCAGGCAACACTTCCCTTTTCCCAGCAGACAAGAGCCGCAAGGCCGGCGCTTCACACTCTGTCAGTACATGAACAATTCTTTCTGAACAAACTCACACCTTGAGATCCGCTCACAGCCTCAGGAGATAGTTTTCTTCAGGCACTGTGAGGTACTTTGTAAAGCAGGCGTGAACAGGAAACAGACATGAACAAAAGCAAGCAGCCTGGGCGCGAAGGCTGCGCCAGAGTCCAGAGGCGCGCTTACGTTAGCACAGTGCAAGGCCAGAGCACAGAAGACGGCAAACATCTTGAAGTTGTTCTCGTCTGTCTTGGAGAAGGCACTGCCACTGATCTTGTTGACCATCTGCACCACGCCGATCACGCTGCCGCGGCTCACGATGGGCATGCACAGAATGTTCCGGGTGGTGTAGCCTGTGTACAAGTCGACTTCCCTGTGGAAACAGAAGGGGCAGCTCTGTCACCAGCATGAAAGGCCAGTGGTAAAGACAAAGAATGTCAATTGCCATAAATCTCAGCATAGCTCCCGTAGCTTGTGTGTGTGTGTGTGTGTGTGTGTGTGTGTGTGTGTGTGTGTGTTGGAACGGCACTGAGGATTCAAGATGGTGCAACAATGTAAGTGTTTTACTAAAACTTTTTCACAAAGATCCAAGCTTGTTTCATTTTGTTTACAATGATTTCCTACTAGAGGCTCCTGGCCCATCAACTGGGCTCTCCCTCTCCACATCAGGATCATTAAGTAAACAGACAAGGTAGGTGATTCAGGAGAAAGTGCAGGAAGTCTGGTAAACAGTGCTTTCCCCTGAACCTGGTCGTATTTATGAGACTGGTAATATGCTATTTTAAATGGGAATATTCACATTAAGGTTTAGAGCAGGAGACTGCAACCGTGCCTATCACCCAAGTGGTGCACAGCCACACTCATCTGGGGGCGGTCAACAAGACGCCAAACTCCTCACTAGCACATCCTTCAGAGTGGAGTGTTTGCTGATTCCTGATCAAGGCAATGCTCTGGGTTTCACAGAACCACTCACAGAACCAGCCCGGGGGTGCACATGAGTCCGCAGTGCCCAGCTTCCCTTGTCTACCCATTATGTGTATAAACCATCCAGGTCTTTATTGATGGCACATTTTATGTATACATTCGCCACTTGCTGGACAACGTCACTGGTTAATAGCTAGTTACTGGCTATCATAAGTAAAACTGTTGGGAAAATTTGCACCTGAGTCTCTCTGTGGACAAACGATTTCATTTTCCCTGGGTGTATGTGTAAGAGTAGGGTAGACTGGAGGGTCCCACTCACTGAACAATCCTTGCTCCCTCCCCCCATTTTAGAAAGTCACTTGCCCTGGTGCACACTAGAAGATGCCTGCCAGAGCTGGGCCCTGTTTACTATGCGCTGAGTGGCCATGAATGTGTCCTTTCTGGTGAAGCGCCCCACGGACTCTGCCCTTTATGGGGAGGTCTCATCCAACCTAGATACTAAGATGATGACGTCACACGCTTTGCCAGGGTCCCCCTCAATCTGATGGCTGCTTTTTATTTTTTCAATAGTCTGACTCCCCAATTTTACATAAAGAGTTTTAAATGACAACCAATAATTTCCGTATTTGAGCAGTGCACGTAAGAACAAGCAAGCTTGTCTGGGGGGAAATGGAAGGTTATTAGTATTCCCAGCTTGTCGGTGAAACATCACTAGCATACTGCTGTGATTCTATATGCAGTCCTCCGTTAAGAGCTATCATTAATTACAGGAAAGACTTCTGGACAATCATATGCTCTCGATGTGAGTCATGAGTGTGTATCAGCTAAACACCATTGTCACACATCTGAGCTATTACTCTAACAGTCTCGGCATCTACCTTGTGACTTCTAATTTCAAAGGATAGAAAATGTGCATATACTTTGATGTCAAGTTCTCCAGAATCCGAGATGCGTAAAAAGTTCCCAATGGCCATCTCATCATCACACTGTAACCATATTCCAGTTGGGCGGCTTACTCAATCCCTGCTTTGTGCGTAGCAAAGTTTCCAGAGCTCTTATGAGAAGGAACTATCTGCAGAGCTAAGAAGCAATTACAAGTAGGTGTTTTCACACCCATTTCAAAGAGGATGACCCTGAGGCCCAGAAAGATCAAGAAACCGACACCAGTTCTGTCTATAGTGGATACAGGACAGGGCCTAACTCAACAAACCAGACAGGATGATCTAAAACCCAATCTTTATTCCCATGTGGAAGGTGTGTGCACACTGAGACAGTGCACAGTGGAATGAAATCGTGACAAGGCCACCAGGAGAAGCGACAGCTCTGTCACTTGACTCTTGCAGGCCCCAGCAGGGAATGATGACCGACAAATAGCCTCAGACCGTGCTCTGACCACTGATAACAGGCTGGGACAACAGACCCTGTCAAAGAGGGTTCAGCCAGGGAACCTCAAGAGAGAAATGACAAGGACCAAACTCCCCTCTCACCTGTTAAAACGCGGGTCTGCATAAGCATCTGGAATGTTCAGGACTTCCCCTGTCCTTGCCACTTGGCCAGCAATGCCCTTTTCAATTGAAAATCTGCAGAAACAAACAAACAAACAAAAAAAAAGGGACATGCTAATTAGATAGTGATGTCATCAAATAGTTACAAAGCATTTCACTGTCAAATGTTGAACTAAACCTTTAAGAATACATATTAATTTTATATTTATATATCCTAAATGATCTTATAAAATACATCAAAGGGAAGCAGCAAAATGCCCTACAGAGCTAGCTCAGAACCAAGTTGGAAGATTTAATACATACTAACTTGAGAATGTCACTGACTAAGAAGTGAAATGGAAAACTCTCTGCTGGGCTCTAACACTGGCCATCAACAACCTCTCCACACCAACAAGTCAGCTCATTGGTTATAGTGTGCGCACTTTCTTAGCAGATTTCCCACACAGCTGGGCTCACTAAGTCGCACATGTGCAGCCCGGACTCGGCTCTGTCAACCTTTCTGAACATAGAACATGGAGTATCGGTTGTCTACAACCCACGTACCACAGAGAAACAGAGCAAAGGTGTTTTCACGTCTTTAGTATGCCCATCTTAAAAACAATCAGAATCCACACACAAACTGATGGTGTTTGGTTATATTTCTGTGAGAAAGCATCATCCTGATAGATAATTTTCACATTATTATATTTGACGTATTATAATATCATTCATGTGTTTATTTCAAAATTTAGTGAGTTAAAAAATACACCTGCAACTCACACTAAGAGTTTTCCAACCTCAAAAGGGCACTGACCAAACACAGAATTAGAACATCCCCCAAAGGACAAGCACTGTGTGAAATGTACAGCCACCACCTTCTGCTTTCCCTCATGCGACACCATGAGCCACGCCAGAGTCTCCTCATGGCATGCATTTGTCAAGCTGAGAGCCCTGTGATTGGCTACGTTTCTTCAGTTCTTGGTGATGCTGGTGACCAGCATCAACCAGTCCAGGCAAAGCCATAGCCTGGTTCCCTCCACTCCTACTCCTTGTGCTTGGAAACACGAGCTGCTCTTTCCACAGTTAGATCAGCACCGGCAGTGTGAGCAATACCCAATGTTAAGGCAAGGAAAACCAGTTTAACTGGGTGACTATCACCAGACTGGCAAGTCCAGAGCTAGAACCAAACCAAGAAATGAACAAAATGTAAAGTCCCATGTACTCTGATGGTGCCTTTACATCAGCACTGTGTGACTATGTAACGCAGGACCCATCACCCTAGAAACAGAAGCGCCAGGCAGAGTGGCGACAACCTGTGCCTGCCCTCATTTTATCCTGCGGTAGCAGTTTCCTAACATGGTGAAGCAGCCAAACATGGATGTAGTTGTCTCACATCAGCGTCATTTGTAAAGGGAAGTTTCTGTCCCGCCTGGTCCCCTCTTTGTTTTGAAAAGAAAAAGGGGGGGGGGTGCTGTGGGATAATGCTCTTGTACTCTGTAAAGATTTGTCACTCATATTGGTTTAATAAAATGCTGATTGGCCAGTAGCCAGGCAGGAATTATAGTCAGGGCGACCAGATGAGAAGAATTCTGGAAAGAGGAAACCCTCAGTCTGCAGTCACCACCCAGATGCAGAGGAAGCAAGAAAAAAAATGCTGCACTGAGAAAAGGTACCAAGCCATGTGGCTAAACATAGATAAGAGTTATGGATTGATTTAAGTTGTAAGAGCTAGTTAATAATAAGCCTGAGTTAATAGGCCAAACAGTTTAATATAAGCTTGTGTGTGTTTCTTAAGGACCGGGCAGGGCAGAAACTTCCATTTGCAGTCAAATGGAAAACATTAATTAGTGAGGACATGGTGGTTCACTAGAGAATTTTGCAGAGATTATTTAGAAGGTTAAGTGGACACGGCAAGAAGAGGCAAAGGGTGAAAGGGACTTGACATCTGCACATGATGCTCGACTCCTCCACCTGTTAGTGCTCCTCGCAGACTTCCAGGTTGTGACAAGACTGAGCCACCAGGACTCTGCCAACAAGTAAAGGCCATCTGTCCATGGAAGTGACAGTAGCTGTCACTTAAGGGAACAAGGTAGGCTTTCATTTCGAAATGCAGCAGAAGGATAGCTGATCCAGTCAATGGCCAGGTTCAGGAGGTGTTCGAGTCCTCAATTTCCTCTCCTCACAAGTTGGGAAGCAGCAGGGGCTGAGTTGGTTACGTTCACCCTGCTCCTAGACACAGGAGCCTGCTGGCTGCAGCTGGAGCGACCTTTACCTACCTGGGAGCACTAGTAAGTTTTTCCAACATGATTTCCAAAAGGACCGCCTCCGGAAGATGGCATTTCCAGGAGTGACGCTAACGCTTCCTAGGCGCGGTTTTCACTGGCACAGCAATGTCATTCCCAGAAGCACTACCTTCAGGAGGCGGGTCCTGGTGGGAATGATATCAGAGTATGACAAGCCTTGTCAGCACACCTGTGAAGAGGCACAGAGAAGTGGACGACAGGAGACCTGCGCATCTGCATCGAAGCCGGGACGGCCACTCCAGCTGTACCTGATCTCCTTGGTCTTTTTGAAGACGGGCTTCCCCTCCTTCTCCTCCCCAATGTCAAACAGGTCCGAATACAGCTCCTTGTTCTTGTGGTCCACCTGGAAGAGCGCGCAGCGGTCGGCGTTCACTAGATTTTTTGCATATATCTGAGGCAAATGAGAAGCCAGAGTAAACCGGTGGGAAACTGAAGCTGGTTACCGCGAACCTTAGTGTGAGATGCAGCTTGCCTTCAGCTGCTCGACACTGGGGAAGGAATCAGGAGCGTGCATACGGGAGTGGAGAAGGGGACACAATGAACACTGCATGTTAGGTCTGCATGTTAGGTGCTGATCTCAGCAGATACAAGAACAGACAGCTCACAGGTGCCCACGCTCCTGCTGGTGCTGAAATACTAGAGCACTGTCCTTGACCTGCTGACCAGCAACTGGTCTCTCTTCCTGAGCATCCTCAAGCTCTCCGAGTTCTTTCCGGGGGCTTCTCGGGATGCTCCTGCTGTCTTGGGCTGTCTCAGTCAGCACTATGGCCAGCACCCACACGGCCTGCTTGCTGTCTATGACCAGTAACTGGAAAGACTATGAAATACTCCAAGCATGGAGGCCCATGCCTTTCATCCCAGTATCCTGAAGGCAGGAGCAAATGGAACTCTGATCTCTGGGGCAGCCAGGGCTACAGTGAGACTCTGACTGCATAATAAGTGTATGAAACAGACCCTGGCTGTGCCTGTGCCAGAGACGGCATTCCAAGCTCAGAACGCCAGAGTTTCTAGCCCCTTCTCACCTCTCTGCTTTCTCTACCTGAAGCTCCAAGAGTGAGGAAGGGCCAAGGAGAGCAGAGTCCCAGAACACTGGCAAGGAGGGGTCTCAGGTTAGGAAACCACAGAAAGCTTGGTCCTAAGAGCTAGGGTGTCACTCGGTTGGAAAAGCCCTGATGAGCACACATAAACTGAGTCCAAAACAGACATTGCTCTCGGGAAGGAGGCCAGACTGGCCAATGTGTTTTACTTATTTGGATTATTGACAGTAACAGCGCCCTCTCCACCCATAGAGCTAGTTCCAAAAACAACCAAGGCAAATGGGCCATAGCATTTATCCCAACTAAGAAGAAACACAGACCTAATTGTTTCTATCTCACTTGCTTCCTTTTGGAAAACCTCTGTGTGCTAATGCATGCAGATGTGTGTGGGTGACCACTGAGGCCAGAAGGATGCTGGGTCCCCTTGGCTGTGGGCTACCAGATGGGTGTTGAGAACTGCACTCTCCAAATCAGCAAGAGTTTGTAACTACTGAGCCATCTCACTGGCCCCTTATTTTCATTTGCTAATTTTTATTTACATTTCCGTATTTTTGCTATAGTCATCTAGCTTGTGACCAAGTAATCTTTTGTAAATGTTTTCTTCCTCATACCCATCCCACTATTTCCTGCTATTTCTAACCTTCCCGCCTAACACTTTCCGTCTCATTCCTATCACTCCCTCTTCTTTCCTCAACCCATTCTCTTTCTAGTTATCACTATTAACACCCTGCACTCTGAAATGCCCTCGGCCACATTTCCGACAGCAGTATCCCCATGTCCCATTTCTGAAGCACATGAGTCTGTCAGTGCCTGTTGTCACCAAGTGCTCTGTCAAGGCGGCTTCCTGTCACTGCTGTCAGCCTCCCCCTAAACAGTGGTGGGTGACCCACACCCAAGTGAAGACAACACACCAGGAACACTCGCACAGAAAAAACAGAAAACAAAGAAAAAGTGGGGCCTGGAGCAAACAGGAAAATGAGAAAGCCAGCCACCACAATAGCTCCCCAGGCTCCACAATAGCTCCCCAGCCACCACAATAGCTGCCCAGGCTCTCGACTCCCCAGTGTGCAGACCCAAGACAACAAAAAGGGTAACTGAAACACTAATTCAATATTTTAGGATCTGCCTCTCAGAACCATCAGTAATCAGATTCAGGGCTCAAACAAGCCGGTGGATGAAGGGATGTGACTCAGGAGCTGGACAGCATAGCTCACAAAGTGAGTGAAAGGTGAGGGAAACGGAGCACAGAGTCAAACATGAGGGAAAACTCAATAAGGAAGCAGATTCTAGGAAAGAAACAAACACAGAAGTAAGAGTCAGCCACCAAACAGAAACAGTGGGCAGCACTGTCAACACACTGGACCAACAGAGGAGGGAGGAGAGAACACATCTAGAAAAACTCAGAAAACTGAACGACTGAGCACGACCAAATGCTGAAGAGGCTGCACTGACAGCCCATGGGGTGGGAGAAGAGCAAGAATCTCAAGACACAGACGGTGCAGCCATTGGAAACACCATGAAACAGGTCTCAGCACACCCACTTCTAGGAGAGGGCCACTGAGACTTGATTTAAGGAGATGGAACTTTAGGATCACCATCAAGGGTGCTCCCTACTTTGACTCATACAGAAAGTGCCTTGGAGACCAGGAAGCAAAATCAAGCTTTCTCCAAGTATAGCTGTTTAAATTGGGGTGTCCCAGGGTCCTCCCCAGGTTCTCAACAAAGGTGAAGAAAGACAGAGGGTCTCAAAGAGCCATAACTCATGACGATTAACAGAGCATATTCATCGAATACACACAAAATGCCACACCAAGAGTAAAGACCAAGAACATAAGGGTGGAAGAAAAATCACAGTCAAAACCAAAAACACCTACCATGATGTGTTCAAGTAGAGAGTCTATGGCAACTATGTTATCAAAGTATGTCCTGAAAAACACAAACACAAGTTCCATGAGCAACCTTACAGACAGCATGGTGCATGTGAAGCTCTCAACACAGTTTATGGGTTCCACATTTAAATAAATGAATACGCATAATATTATTTGACGTGGGATAACCCCTCTGTATGATGTGAAGATGTTTTATTACCATTGGTTAATAAAAAGCTCATTTGGCCAATAGCTAGGCAGAAAATCCAAGCATAGATAAAGGGAGACAAAAGGAGGAGTCAGGGAGACACCACCAACGACCAGAGAAGCAAGATGTGAGGTGATGAGTGACGAGCCTCAAGGTAAAATATAGAATAGCAGAAATGGGTTAATTTAGATGTAAAGGCTAGTTAGTAATAAGCCTGAGCCATTGGCCAAACAGTTTGTAATTAATATTAAGCCTCAGAGTGGTTATTTGGGAACTGGTGGGTGGGGAAGAAACCTTCAGTTACAATTATTAAAAACAATCAATGAAGCATTAGCATTGCCTTAGTACACTGGAGTCATCCAGTAATTATATCATTGCTCAATAGAGAGGAGGGAGGAAGGCTGTAATGAAAACTATGTAGGACTGGATTCAGGTCAGCATTCCCATGAATGGTCTCAAGTAAACTTTTAAGTTTCCTATATTCACCAGTATAATTATAATATACGTGACTGCTGAAAAAAATAAAGTTAGAAGTCAAACTGCTCTGAGAACTCAGAAGAACTAACCTGAGAAGAAATACCATAATGCAAGTTGTTGGAACCCAAGGACCTGTAATTGTTTTATCAAGGTAAAATGCAGGCTCAGTGGCAGGAGTGTGTTGTAGAGGCAGTGAGACACCCACTAAGATGTAACTCCAATAGCCAACCATCACAAATACATTAAAAATGACTCAATATGGGTTTGCTGGCTCTGTGAGGATTTCAGCCGTGCTCTGAAATTAACATGTACTGTGTACTGTGATACCATGATACAGTGAGGGAGGATGCTCTCCTTCACTGAGGGCCACGAAACTGAGGGCTTCACTGTATCGTGAGCTCGTGCCTAGGAGAAGACAGCACTGGAGTGAGTGAGCCCTACCTGGGCAGAAGGCAGGAAGTCATAATGTGTCACGTGGGCAATCAGCTGACTTTGGGACACTTCCAAAAAGTGCAAATGTGTTGACCAGAGAGAAGCTCAGCGTCCCTTTCTGTGTGCTCTGAAGTTAACATCACCATGGTCCCCATTACATTTGGCAGGTTCGTAGAGTTGAATGAGCAATCACTAGAGCTACATGTCTCTAATTTCAGATTCCAGAGAGCAGCTAGGTACAAAGTGAGCCGGCAACTCTAGGCTGAGCAGTCTGCAGGGTTCCGGAGTGTGCTAGGGAGGACTTAGAAAGCACCGGCAGGGCCAGGAGAAGCCAGTACCTGCCACAGTGCCGCTGTAGGCCAGGGATGAGTAGGTGCCTCCCCAAGTTACTAAACTGGTAGGAGGACTTGACCCAGGTGACCATATCCTGAACTTTAAGGTTTTGTTATTAATGAGGTAGGCAGTGTAGACAGAAGGTCCCCCCTGTAGCATGCAAAGTCGACACAAACCTATAATTTAATAAATATTTCTAATAGCTTTTACTACCAACCCAGGGAGGTGATCTAGGTCAAGCTTCAGAGAAACGGAATGTTTTCTCATAACTGCAACCGGGGCACCAGAAATGCAATGGCATTGTTAACAATGCTGTGTAGAGTGACCTTGTTAGAAAAATGCCAGAGAACACATCTTGGAAAAGGTTAGAGAAATCAGCAGCAGCAACTTCTGTTTCCAGAATAAATGTCAGATTAAGATCACTACATACAGAGACAAAGATGCAATTCTGTAATTCACGAAGTGACAAAGAACTCTCCCCAGAATGTTTGCATGCCCCGTGCAGCGGAGGGAGATGTCACCATGAGGACCTGCACTTCACACCACTGCCACCAAGGTCAGGAGAAGCCGGGAAGGGACGGAGAACACTTACTTTGATACATCGAGCAGGAAGTCATTCAGTTCGGTCTGTTTGGCGAGACCTCTGCACACCTGCCACACAGACAACAGTTTCTAGTCAGCTGGGAACTCTGTTGACTTAGGAGCAGACCCCAGAGTGCCGTTTACACAATCACTGCTGGTCTTACTTCTTGAAAAATACAACACGCTAACCCTGTTCAGACTGTTTATCCTTTCACGGGATCTCTGCACAGCTCTCCCACCTGGGACACACACTCTCTCTCTCACTGAGGCAAAGGAGCTGTGAACAGCGCAGACACTCTCCACCCTGGTGAGTTACACACCCGCTGCCACCTCCAAATCCAGCAAGTGCCCAACACACTCTGTGGCCCCAGGAGCCCCTGCTACTCCTGCCATCACCTTGCAATTACCCTTCTCTTCTTGTCACACGAAGAACAACGCACCAAGAGATTTAAGATGGCTTACAAGTGAGCATAAGGGATCACATAGATGACATTGTTTAGATATAGAATATTACATCCAAAAGCAAAGCTGGAGATGGCTTACTAGCCTCGACTCTAGCCTCCACTACTGCTGCCTTGGGATGCCCTTGTGAGAACACCCTCGGACTTACCTGCACCTGGTGTATTGCTACGGAAGCCCAAGCAAGATTGGCAGTTGCGACCTAAAAAACACACATATGTGCATATCAGACAAACTCGATCGCAGGTCATCAGGTTTCCATAGCAAGCTGTTTTACCTGCCGAGCCATCTCAGTTGGCTACATTACCTTCTTTTAATATTAAGTAATATTTTTCTGGGTGATAAAAATTTAATTGAAATACTCTAATTGCCTCTTTAAGCCTGTGTGGTGTCCCTAAGAGAGCAGAATACTGCGTCTATGTATACTCTATGCATCTGAGGACTGAAGCTATATTCCATGTTTCTACTTTTATTTCCATGTGTCTCATATGTGCGCAAATGCATGCACATGTGTGAAGGTTAGAGAGAAACCTCAGAAATGTCTACCTCCATGGAGGCAAGATCTCACCCGTCTAGAGAGCAGCAATTAGGCTGTACCGGCAGGACAGAGTCCCACAGACCCACCCATCTCTGCTCCGCAGCACTGACTACAGACACACACATTGCCACACTTGGTTTTTTAAAGGGGTGCCAGGAAACCCCCTCAGATTCTCGCACTGTCCACCAGTCCTACCCCCCATCCTGCCCCCAGGACATAGTCCACTTCTGCTACTGGCTTCCACTCTGCACGTCCTTCCTGGGCACAGGGTGCTAGCTCTAGGTGCTAGAGACAAAGGGGGAGGTAAAGGCGAGGCTGGGCAGGACAGAGTGTCTGTCTAGTGGAAAGAACAGCCATGGGAGCCGTAGGAGCACACAGCAAGATAGAAGGAAGGACACAGGTCCCATGCGCAGGGGCACTCTGGGCAGGTGCTGTGAGGTGACAGGACCCTGACTCCACCCCACAGGAGGGCATTCTTTGCACAGGACTTCCCTGGAAACAGGGGGTTGGCCATTCACGAAGTGGGTGAAGCCAGACCACTTACAGGGGCCTGGTCTATCCGCCATAGGAAAGGCACGTGGTGGTGATGTTGTGTGTGTTTAGTGTTTGTGAGCCAACTCCAACAGGAGCATGGCGCATGCACGTAACCGTGGAAGAGGACACATTCAGGAAGACACAAGATAGTCAGGATGCCACCCTGCGCTTGGCTTCATATTCGCTGAAGCACATTTTTGGTTAAGATGTTTTTATACAGGGAAAAAAAAAGAGTGTATTTCTGTATTTCTAATTTAACCAGTCTCCTCTAAAAACGACTGCTCAAGAAAACAGGTTTTTAAGAATACGCTGCTGTTTGCAGCCAAACACGGTCAGGCAAACAGTGTCTTCCCTATCCATTCACGTATGCACATCCATTCACGCATGCACTCAGCACCGGCAGGTGCCACCAGTGAGGGCAGGAGGCCAAAAGACATTTTTAAAATGTTTTTTAAACGCACATTTTAACTCACATTACGGGGTTTTTGTCTGCATGCCGCGTGTGTGCCTGCCAGAAGAGGGTGTCGAAGCCCCTGGCTGGAGTTACAGATGGTTTTGTGAGCCATCATGTGGGTGCTGGGAAGTGAACCCCAGTCCTCTGCGAGAACAGCCAGTGCTCTGGACCCCTGGGCCACCTCTCCAGCCCCGGTGGTAGTGTCTGAGCCTCACCTCTTGATGGCTGAGACAGAAGGCCTCCTTGCCCCAGTGCCTGTACAGCTCAAGAATGCCGATCAAGTCTCCAATGGCAGTGACGATGGGCAAGCAAAGAACAGACTGGATTCGAGTTCCTGATTCCAGACCTGTGCCTCTTGGAAACCGCTCATCCTGAAAATCAAACGAGAGAAGATTCGGACTTGAGCATCTTGGTTTCGCGTGTACACGCATTAGATGTGAACAGTGGCTGTCAGTTCACTTGAGAGTGAGAAGGCCTATGGGCAAGTATGGCACTGGACCCCTCACCTGCTCTACCAGAGCCACCCCAGACTTTGCAGATGTATGCACAGGCAAACACCATGTTTACACATGTATACACAAACATGCCTTCCCTTCCGTGTTTAAGGTCATGCTATTTATTTCATCTGAGTTGATCTTTAAGAGTCCAAAGTATGCATTCAAGTCATCCATTATCAATTAGCTATCATTATAATGAAAGTGGGTTTGACTTAATAATATTCTATCTTAGCTAAAATTTCGACAAGTCAGCACAGGGCAAAGAAAATGATTACCATCAAGACAGCAATTCTATACACGTGGTTTCTACCATATGCGGGAAGCGAACAGAACACAGAAAACCCTTCCTGATTCAAGAGAGATGTGAATGTGTTTAGGTGACTTTCACTCTTTGAACGGCCATACCCAGGACAGAGCATTTTCAAATGAGAAGCCACAGGGCATCTACTCTTTGATTCTTCCTGCCTTCTCCACCCTCACTATAGACCCTTCCTTTCTTTCTTCTTCAATAAAGCAACAGTTAATTAGTTCTAGGTAAATCATTGACAGAAAAAAAAAAACCACCAGAACCAGGTTCCAAGTCTCTGATTTAAACCGTTTCACAGAACAAGCTCCTTCTGCCTGTTACTGCGTGTATTTGTCACCTATGAAGCCTACAACCCATGCAGTGACATTCATCAGACATCTGCCTGAACACACTTGTGAGACTCCACCGAGGATCTGTCTGTCATCCCTCTTGGCAGTCACATCTTTGTTGGCACCCTCTGTCACTGAGGAGGCTCAGGACGGGCTCAGACCTGCTCCTGTGATTGCTACTCTGACTGGTGGGAAGGCAGGGAACGGGACGCCAACAGCGGTTGGAGACCTGACATTAGACTGCCATGCTGGCCTCACAGGTGGGGAGTGAGAAAAACCAGCAGGGTTGAGGTGGCTGGAGAGTAGCCAGACCTGACTCACGGCCAGCTGGCTTCTGTCTTTTATCACCCAGAAGCCTACAAGCCCACCTCAACAGAATGGCCAACCTTAGACTCCTGAGAACTGGCCACTGGGCACTGCAGGACACCCTTCACATGGGACAGTCGGACCCGCAGCAGCGTTGACATGACTCATCAGGCAGGCCCTGGCTATTCGCATAGCTATTGATGTCTTATTCTGGTTAACCAGGGTGGTGTGTGCTGAAATAAGAGCTCCATCTCACAAGAAGCACACCTAGTGTGATATTTCTGGACATAAAAGCTAAACTATGAGCAAATTCTTTCATTGATCTGCATCATCTTTTAACGCATTTATAATTAATTTTTAAACAAATTAAATAAGGTCATAATAATGTATCCTCTTTTCAATTAAACCCTGAGAGCATGAGAGTCCAAGCGCCCTACCCCAAGGATGTCTTCCACAAGCAGCGTTTTCCTGGACTTGGCCACATAGGCAGAGATGGTGGTGCCCTGGGTGATGGGTCCGGCAGGGATAAGCCGGGGTTGACCTTCCTTCATTCCGGGCGGTGTGAACACACAGAGACTCTAGGAAGAAGAAAAGACAACGATTTAGGTGATGATCCCCGCCTTTGCCCAATATCTACAAGACTCCAGAGCAGTGGCACAGTGTTACCTAATTAGGCCCCATAAAGTCTGGGAGTCAGTCACAGGAAAAGACGCAGGTGATGCAAGGTTTCATGGGGAACAGACAGGAACTTAAAGCCAAGTCTCGTTCCCGCTTCACACAGAATGCACGTTTGGCATCAGAATTCACAAACATTACAGGCACAGAAACACTCACGTTAGCCTCCTCTTGGGAATGAGACACGGCGTGAAATGAATACGGCATCTTGCTACGAGACCCTAGACTGTACCATGCCAACCAATCCATGCTAAGCCTGGGGCTGAGTGATGGTCACTGCCTTCCCATGGTCTGAGAACACTGCTCTGAGACCCTATCACTCACACGGCTCCAGCTGGAACTGCATATTCGGGGTACGATGAATTAAGAAGGCGCTGTCTTCACTGCAGAGGCGTGGCTACTCTTAAGAGATCTCCTCTCATTGGAGTGACTCTGGGCAAAGATTTTTGGCAAATCCACTCCCAAGAATATTAGAATCAATCATTTTGACAAATCTAGCCATGTTCTAAATTATTTTCCACTTAATAAAACGTTTAAATCATATTCTAATTATCGAAGTTGTAACAGGACTATCCACCCATTTGGAACTTGGCAGTGTGTTCTGGGAAACTCTACTGAATCCCTTACTTCCACCTTACAGATAAAGCAGCCGTGTCAGCTGTCCCACATCGCCTACTCTGTAGAGGATCTTCCCCCTGGATCCTCTTCAATACACGTGAACCGGTTCTGAGGCTCTGTTCACTGCAGTGAAGTTTCTCTGACCAAAGAGGAAGGGAGTGCTGAACTGACAGCTCGTAGACGGCCGTTTGATGGGTACCTCACATCATGGAGCAAAACAGCCACAGCAATAGCAGCTTCCTGGCCTGGTGCAGGACCCCAGCAGGTGAGTGAGGCTGCCGAAACTCTTCCACTCTTCCGGCAGCCTGCATTGCACCTTCTGGGCCTGTGAGGTCAGCCAGCAGGGAGGACGCTTCCAGCACAGTTCCTGCCTGATTTATCTGTGTCTTGTGGTTGTCACACCATTTGGTGCTGGTGGGAAACCAACAACAGTAGCAACCAACTGTCTCGTTTTGGGTCCTCCCTGGCCAAGAATTCACAGGGATGTGCTCACTCCGGAGGTGCTGCTGCGTTTAAACTTAGGATGATTCTACAATCTGCTCGGACGTGTGACACTGAGGGAAGGAGACTGTCATGGCGCTAGGGGTTACTGACGGTCAGTAGTCCTTCTCTCCAGACGGAGGAGCAGAGCATGATGGGAGGAGAGGAGGAAGAGATGATCACAAGAAAAAAACAAAGACCACAGTGTATTTAGCAGGAAGACAAACCAGACTAGGCAGCAACTTTTCACACTCGGGATGACAGTGAGGAGCCAGGTTCTGGGCATCCGACTTTCCCCCATCAAAGACGGCAGCAGGGGAGGAACTTGGGTTTAACTCCGAGACTGGACAAAGAATGGGCCACAAACAGCAACAGAAAGGATGCCCTAGAGCAAGCGACCAAAGGAAGCTTTACGTTCTCTCTTGTTTTAGGTTGTAGTCGTTCACTCCAAAGACAGGCAATGCACAGTTTTTGAGAGGCTTAGCAGTTAGCCCCTGGACCACATCCTTCATTATGTCTTCATGGCAAAGTCCTGACCTCACAGATCTCGCACATCCCCACACTCCCGGACAGTCACGGGTAGAGGATGTGTATGTGATGTAAAAGGCTCAGGCGAGCTGTGCCCACGGAAAGCCATCCCATAGATGGGACTTGCTCAAAAGAGAAGGCTGCAGAATGTTCACATAATTGCTAAAATTTGAAAACACCATAGGGATAATTACGGAAGAGTAATCCTTTACAGTGGGGAATACACTGGCTTTACCAACAAGCTTGTGATTTCATACACTCATGAGACAGAATGTTCCTAGTGAAAACCACTATCAAAATCATGAAAATACTGCAGTACAGGAAAGTCAAGGGCTCAGGACAGAGAGACACAGGCCGGCTCAGGACAGAGGAACACAGCCTGGCTCAGGACAGAGGGACGCCAGCCAGCTCAGGACAGAGGGGCACAGGCCGGCTCAGGACAGAAGCCCAGAGACCATCTTTATGGCTGACTCCTCTCCTCTGTGTGAGGGTTTCCCAGATCTTTTCTCTCTTCTTCATCTTTCTTGGATTTCTTTATTTATCCTATGTGTGACTGTATAAGTGTGGTTGTATATGGAGGACACTGGATGAACCCGTGGGAGAGAGTTCTCGCTTCGTGTCTGTATGCGGGTCTTGACGTTGAACTCAGGACTTTAGGCTTGGCAGCATAAGTTCTGACCCTCTGAGCCACCTCACTGACTCTCCATCCTTCTTTTTAACTCAACACACACCACCTGTTCAAAAGCGCCCTTTGTTTCTGATTATGGGTCAATCATTGATGGAATGACCTGTCTCGGGGCAGTAGTACAATCTTCATGATTTTTACAAATTGAATGAAGTATAGAGAGCTGCTATTACAGACAAACAAAAATGTCATTAAATAACTTTCACGGGCCAGGCAGTGGTGGCGCACACTTTTAATCCCAACATTCGGGAGGCAGAGGCAGGCAGATCTCTGTGACTTTGAAGCCATCCTGGTCTGTAGAGTAGGTTCCAGACAACCAGGGCTGTTATACAAAGAGAAACCCTATCTTGGGGGCAGGGGTGGGGGGAAGGGAGATCTGGGGAGTAGAATTCCAGGCAGGGCTGAGCTTTACACAGTCCAGCATGGGGAAGCCCCGTTAAAATCTGTACTCCACAGAAACAGGCCCGGAGAAAGGCCTGCGCATATGTGTTCCACATGTGACACAGAAAAGTGACTCTTGTCTTAGTTCTTAGTATTTAAAGACAGTAATTCTTTTCATGAAATAGACTAAGCATTCTTCCTGATAAATCTGTTTACTGAATCGATAAACGATAGGATGGAGCAAGGACTAAGGACATCGGCAGGGGAAAGGGAGGCTTTAATTTTCAAGATCAATATAAGTTCTGAGCTAAGGCTGTGACTAGGTTATTTGCACTTTAAGACAACAAAATCCAGCTGGGCAGTGGTGGCACATGCCTTTGGTCCTGGCACTCAGGAAGGCAGAGATGAGCTCAAGACCAACCTGGTCTATAGAGCAAGTTCCAGGACAGCCAGGAACACAGAGAAACCCTTCCTCGGGGGAAAAAAGACAGGAAAACTCTACCTTCATTTTCTGCTCAGGTGAATACCACCAGACAGTGTTTTCTGCACAGGTGAAGACCACCAGACAGTGTTTGTGCACAGGTGAAGACAACCAGACAGTGTTTTCTGCACAGGTGAAGACCACCAGACAGTGTTTTCTGCACAGGTGAAGACCACCAGACAGTGTTTGTGCACAGGTGAAGACCACCAGACAGTGTTTGTGCACCATCAGAACTCCTTACACATAGTCACAGCTACTCTCCCGTGACAGCTAGAGCTGGGCTCTCCAAAATCAATCCCTACACTGACTTTGTAAAAACAACTTGATTAGCACAAGAATGCTTCAGAGGTTAGAAATCTAAACACAAGGAAAGGCCCGACACTCGGAGCCTCAACCTCCTCCATGTTTTCCAGGGCAACTGACCCACTGCCCACCAGCACGAGGCTGTGCCAGGGAGCAAGGGGCGAGCAGACATCCTGAGCCTGTCAACATCTGTGAGAGAAAAGCAGATATAGATATAAATATAGATAGGTAGTCTAAGCTAGGTAAGATTGGGACCAAGAAGCTGGGCTCAATGAAGGGCTTAAAAACGTGAAAATTACAAATATATATATATATATATATATATATATATATATATATATATAAAATTTGGAGAAATAAATTTAGTAGAAATGCACAAGGGAGTAGACAAATACAATTAATGTAATAATTATAAATTAATAAAATTCACAAAAACATAATACCATTTAAATGAAGTAGGGAAATCTGCCTTGTTGATATCTACCACCCAGACTGTTTGGGGGCAAATGCACAGAGATTTTCTGAAACACATAATTCAAAGGTCACTTCATTCAAAAAATTTCATTTTAATGTTGATCTTTTAGTTTTCACTCTTTGCAAGCTAATTTTTAAAGACAAGTTTTAATTAAATAGGAGGTGAAACTTTAAACCAAAGAAAAAAAAACACTAGGGACAAAACCCAGGTTTGTGCTGTTCTCCATTTGAGCCACTAGATGGCAGTGCTAGGAAGCAAATTTAGGTGGAGGTGGCTGAATGGAAGCAGGAACCAAGGTCCCAAGAATTTCTAACAGGGAAGGCAAAGGCGCTTTTTAATATTGGTAGAATTTAACCACAGTTGAATGAAAAACATCACAATGAGAGTAAACTACTAGGTGCTAAATATAAAAACGGCACCAGTTTCAGGCTGTGGCTTTATGTACTAACATAACACTGGGTTTCCCTGCTTTTCCATTTCCGCCCCACTTTGTACCCAAGAAGCAACATTCTATGAATTGCATCCTTCATTGCTTTAGAGTAAAATTTAATAATGATAATAATGATAATAACAATAACACATTAAATAGTTTCAAGGCAAAAATCTATCTCCTTCCCAGGAACTGCATTGGGTAGAAGGGCCTGGGGGGCTAGCTTAGGCTCCTGACTGGGGCTTTGAAGTGTGTTTTCTCTGAAGAGGAGACCTTCACAAGCTCAACAAAGTAGCCCAGTTCTCCGGCACTTAGCAAGAGCTTGGTGTGATGTCACTCGCCTCCCCAAGCTACCTCCACTGTCAACAACTGTGAGGGGCAGACTGCTCCCCTTACAAACTGCAGTGCACTAAGTATCCAGTGTATAAACTTTGTTACCGCTGCAGGCACCTCCTTCACCTCCTTCAGAATAAGAACGTTTTTCCCTGGCTGAAGATTTCCAGTGAAGTTCTCCCGGGCTGT